AAAATATTCAGTTTACACTTTGGAACCAAAAATAAATGATTGAAATGACTTCTGCAGAATCATTTTCTGTTGATGTACAAATCAGCAAATCATTTCACAACTAGAATTATTGTTATAATGTGATTATAATGACTTCACTTCACTAATTCTCTCAATAGTTAATAAAATGTGTTACTGAGTGAAAGTTGTGTCTCTGATGTTGTGATGTCTTTGTTTTCACCGACAGCACAACAACATGTCAACACTCTTCAACGACCCCTTCATGGAGCCGCAGTTCAATCGTCAGAACAAGACCTTCCCCTATCAGGTACACACACACACACACACACACACACACACACACACAGGAGGCCGTACAGTGTAAGAACTTTGTCATATCATCTTATGTGAAGACCAACAAATACCTCAATATGATTTGTAGTCTTTGTATTTTATACTGAGAAAACTCCTTGAATACCTCAACAGTCCTCTTAAAGTATTTGAAGTATAATGAACCCTCACAAATCCACATCTGGATTTTATTTAGATCACACTCATAGATATCAGTCCTCCTGATTTTTATTTGTTAAGAATCATCAATTATTTTTTTTGTGAGAAATGGAGATTGAAACGTCTTCTCATCCTTCCATATAGTGACAATCTTTTCTGTAGTTGCTGACAAACACACAGAGGTGAAGATATATGTAAGATACATATTTGTAATGATTCAAATCATCACAAGTGATTTCATGGTTTTCTGCCCACGTCATGAGAACAGTGTTTCTGAACGTGACCACACATTTGTGTGTTTGTCACCGTCTGTCATCTAGTTGGACCAGTTCGGTCTGTTGGAAAACACCATGAGCTCCACAGCAGGAGGTTCATGCTTCGACCCTACCTCCTCTTCCTCCTCGCTCTACTACTCCCAGGCCGCCCTCTCAGGACTGGGCGGCAGCCACGGCAGCCTGCACGACCCCATGCACATGAGGTCCAACATGCTGTACTCCAACTGCAGCGGAGGGTTACCCAACATCATCCTCACCGGTGAGTCCCCGTGACTGCTCAGGTGTAATGTCAAGAATTAACTCAGGTGGGGATGGATTTAAGATGCGTCCTGATCAAGAGGAAAGTTTATATTCTACTTTATTAAGGAAAACACCCAAACATGAGAGGTAAAGATAAGTGGAAGGTGTCAGTGACACGTAGGTGACACGTCAGTGACACGTCAGTGACACGTCAGTGACACACCAGGGACACGTTGTTCAGTAAATATGAGAGAATTATTGTGTTAGTGATGCTTAATGAGGATGAAGTCATGATGTCACTGGAGGAAGATGAAGATGCTGCCTCAGGGTTCAGTCAGAGTCTGATGTCATTGTGATGTCAGAGTGTGATGTCAGAGCTGAAAGTTCAACACTTGTAAAGAGTGTTTCCTGGTGAGTGAGGCTGTTATCAGAGGAAACCATCAACATCTCTCTCTCTCTCTCTCTCTCTCAGATGATTCCAACCCCACTCTGTCGAAGGACATCAGCAGCGCTCTCTCTATGTTGCCTGATTGTTTTGACTCGGAGGGAGGCTTCCCATTGGAGGACGAGCTGCGCATCGAGCCGCTCAGCCTGGACGGTCTGAGCATGCTCAGTG